CAGCAGGAGCCATGTTATATGTCACTACATAGGAGGTAATATACTTTTGAAATATCCCCATTTCTTACAAACCAGACAAAATACCTCCTTGAAGTCACTCAGTAATCAGAGGGAAAGCAGAAAATACATTAGCTTGAGTATCTCCATGACAGCAGCTGTATTTAAAATGGATGGACAGCTTCCGAATACCCATTGTTTGCCCTCACCACAGATAAGATTTGGCTAATGAAACAGCTAATTAGATTTTTGTAATCCTGTCGTCATTGTGTTTGAGAAGTGACATTTTTCCTGAATTTCTCTTGTGGTTCCCTTCTGTCTAGAAGGGAGTATTTTCCCCTGGCCAATTTGGCTCTTGTCACTTTACAGGAATGGCAGTTCCCTCTGTTGGTGTAATGAAATCACTGCATTCCCCAAACACAACTATGTCACTCAACATTTAAATGGAAGAGAATAGGAGAATGATGATCCAATTAGTAAAACAGGCCCGTGTTCAAAATCCATTTCCGAAATCAAATAATAGGATTGGATTGAGTTCATAATGGAAGAATTACTTAGGTATTATTACATACTGTATTACATATTCATCGACTTGTTGAATGTGGATGGATTTGCCAGACTCCTTCAGCCCTCCCTCTTCCAGTGTACATGCAGCAAAGGGGATAAGAGCTGAGTTTCAAAGCAAACTAAATAAAGGAGAGATTAGGGTAAATCTGGGCACATGCTGAATATTAAACCACCAGACCTAAAATCCATTCAGGCACATGCAAGTGCAACTTCCATTGATAGCCTGGTGACTTCTGAAGTCAGTGGGACTGTGTTTGACTATGATACTCAACATACCCAGGTTCTGTTTTGGGTTTTCTTATCTATTGATTTTTTTTATTTCTACTCGCCCACCTGCCCTTTGCTCAAGGCCTGGGATCAATTTCCAATGGGAGTGGATGCCTACTCTTACATTTCTTTAGGCATCCCACTCATTAAAAAAATAAAACTAGATTGATGAATGAAGTTATAATAATTGTGCAAGTGACATGTTTTGGCTCCAAATCCTGGCACTGTTCTTCATGGAATGGTCCTTATTGACTATAAGGTGTACTATGGATCATTGCTAAGTTAGGAAATTACTATACTATTACTTGTTCATAAAATAATTATGTAAAATAATAAAGCTCAGAAAATGTGGGTTCAGACTAGCAAGATTTAGGACAGGTATTAGGGGGGTGTGAAATGGGCCATATTCGATTTGGATTCAGCCTGAATTGGGGACAGTGATTCGATTCTTTGGTTCAGATCTCTGTCCTGATTCAATTCGACTGAATCCGAATCTGAAGATAGGATGCTGATTTGGAGAATCAGTGATTTGGCCATAGACACAGCTTTATATGTTTTTTCTTCATACCTCGAGGTACCAGGCATGGCTCATGAACGCTGCAATGGTGGGGTGGATGGAGAGTCCCACAGGAATGGCGGGAAGGGAGGGAACCTGCATGCTTGGTGGCGAATCTGGAAGTGGACTGGAAGTACTTCTGCCCCCCCCCATGCCTCCCCCCAGCTCGACGATCAGCCACGGGCAGACCCTGGGTGCCTCCCCAGACCCAGAAGGCACCAGTCCCCAAGCTGGGGGGGTGCAGGGGAGCTCCCCGCACGCTCCCTGGTGGACCCAGAAGTGGACCAGAAGTGCTTCTGGTCCATTTCTGGGTCTGCTGCTGAGCGCACTGGGGACCCCCCTGCCCTCCTGTGGGATGCTGCATCCACCCTACCACCTCAGCATTCACAAGTTGCCTGGTACCCTGAGGTATGTAGAAAAAACATTTAAAAATGTGTCTATGTCAGAATCATAAAATCTTTCCAAATCTCTCCAAATTGATTTGGAGGGTTCTGATTAGATTCAGAGAGATTAAAGGGTCTCCTGATTCTATTCAGATTCAGAGATTCAACCACTGAATTGGGCCAAATCTCCACTGAATTGAATCAGCAACCAAAGCTTCACACATCCCTAACAGGTATGGACTTTTGTCAAAGATCATTATGAAGTTAGACAATATTATATAGTCTGGATAAGTTTTGGACTAATAAGAAAAATCAGCACACAAAATATTTATTAGGTATTCATTTACATGGCACTGAGGTTAAATAAATATTTCTTTAGTGGCCCATAAGATTGACTAGTATTATCAGATTACTTGACATAGTGGGTCAGTTAACACTAAGGGGCTCTTCACTTTAGCTGCATAAAGGAGAGAAAAGAATAATGCTCTACACTTTTCTATTAATTTAAGCAAAGGATATGAAAGAGCTTTGTGAGTACTGATGACTTAAGCATCACAATATATATATATATATATATATATATGACATGGGCAGTTACCTTCCCATTGTATAGGTAGGTAAACCATAGCACATGTCCAACATCACACAATGAGTCAAAGGTACTTTACCTACTAATAAAAAGTCTTTCTTTCTTTTCACATAGTTTTTAAAATTCTAGATCTCAGACTATTCTGATTAACTGATTCTGTATAAGGTTACATTAGGGGAGGTTGTTTGCACCTCAGGTTTAAAGTGGTAGAAGGGGGCACTGCATTTCATATTTGACTCCATAGTTTGGAGTCTTTTATCCAAGACCCACCACAGAAAAAGTTCAGTTTAAAGGATGATTTTTTGTCCTTCCTTCAATATCAAGAACACTTGGAAACTGTATTTTTTAAATACAATTTTAAAAATGGTTCTTACAGCTGTAACAGTCCCACAACTGAAGAGATTCTCAGCCCCAGCAGCTGCTGACTCTGGATCCCAGCACCACAAGGACCTACAGTCCTTCCGCTGTGGACACTGGATGGCCAGACCCGGCTTGGTACTGGGACCCAGGGTGCATGAAACCCCCAGGCCTGGGAGATTGCAGTTGCTGCAATCAATTGCAGAACACAATCTCCTAAACTCAGAGATGTATGAAACCCCCAGGGCTGAGGGATCATGGCTGTCACAATCTCCCAGCCCCAGGGGTGCATGTGGTTGGGAGTCCCTTATTTGAGCGTGTTCCCAGACATGGGAACTGGCTTTTTGCTGGAGCAGGATGAGCCTGGGATCGGGCTTCCTCTGCAACAGTAATAAGCTGCAATGGGATCTAATGCATGATCCCACAATCACATCTTCTGCTGAAGCACATGTGGCATGGCAGGAGGTGCTATTGTGTGGATCTTGCATTAGATCCCATAGCACCTTTACCTTTACGTGTAGAGGGGACCTTACTATCCAGAATGTATCTGAAAATCAGTGACTTTGTATTAAAGGTGAACACCATTTGTATGTTAAATAATATGCTTAGAGTTATTATACATGTCTTGCATCATAAATTTCCAATTGCAAAGTAGAGACTGGTATCTGAATATTTGGCCCTTAAATCTATAATTTGTTTGGTAAATTACTAGGAAATTTTTGAAGAAAGTATATATAGATAAGATCATCCTTAACTTTTAATAACAATTAGGGGAATCATTCTGAAAACCAAGGAGACTGTTCTATTTTTTTCCATTTTGAAGCAATATTAGGTGTTTCATAATGTTTCACTGTTTCCTTCTCCTCCTTTTTTTGTTTTAATTTTGAAGTTCTGAAAAATTCTATGTTGTAAGACCTGACTGTTAGGTCAACTCATTTTTATTAAACTAACCTAAAAAGGTCAGAACTTAAGTGAAGGAATAAGATCAGCATATTCATAGTTTCATAGTTTCATAGTTTTAGGGTCGGAAGGGACCTAATAGATCTTCTAGCCCGACCCCCCCGCCAAGGCGGGAGAACAACAAAAGAACCCTAAACAAAAAACGGGACTCAAATGAGTCCAGCCAGGTAGGTATCCAGCCTCTTCTTAAAGATCCCCAGGGTAGGGGCCAGCACCACCTCCCTTGGAAGTTGGTTCCAGCTCCTAGCCGCCCTAACTGTGAAGTAGTTTTTTCGGATGTCCAATCTGTACCTCCTCTCCATCAACTTGTGCCCATTACTCCTTGTTATGCCAGCGGGGGCTAGGGGAAACAGCGTCTCCCCCAAACCCTTCTGGTTCCCCCTAGTGAGTTTATAGACGGTCACCAGGTCCCCCCTCAGCCTTCTCTTGTGGAGGCTGAATAGGTTCAAGTCCCGCAGTCTCTCACTGTAGGGTCTGCCCTGTTGTCCCCGGATCATGCGGGTGGCCCTCCTCTGGACCCTCTCCATGTTGTCCACATCCCTCCTGAAATGGGGCGCACAGAACTGGACACAATACTCCAGCTGCGGCCTGACCAGCGTCGCATAGAGGGGGAGGATCACCTCCCTGGCTCTACTCGAGATGCACCTGTGGATGCACGACAAGGTCCGGTTAGCCCTGCCAACCATGACCTCGCATTGTCGGCCCATGTTCATCTTGGAGTCAATAATGACACCAAGATCCCTTTCCGCCTCCGTGCTCTCAAGTAGGGAGCTCCCCATCTTATAAGTGTGCTGCTGGTTCCTACTACCCAAGTGCAGCACCCT